AAACTGTTTGTTGGTACATGTTAGTCTCAGTTTCCAACAGATGGAGGCACTTGCAGCAGAAAGCAAACAAGAAATTAAGGCATTTAGTATTATTTCAGCTCACTGAGATCAAAAGGGTTTTTGGAGAACAGTTTGGCTTTTCCTTGCATGAAAGGCTGAAGGTGGAAGTGATATGAAACCCTCAGAGGAATCATCTTTCCCTGGCCTGACATGTGCAGAATCTTCCTCTTTCTTTCCATGGCACAGGGGATGCCGGCCCCTTGCACGCTCTGCTGAATCCTCCCAGAAGTTGCTCTGGGAGTCTAACGTCTGTGGGCAAAGGTTGGACGGGGCAGGGGAAAAGTTGAGGTGCAGATCAGGTGCACTTAAGACCGCCAGCCCTTGGGGATTCCCTAAAAAAGACCTCAGGCTGGGCAAGGAGGCTTTTGAAGATTTCCTTCAGAGCACCTGCGGGCCATGGGCTTTCCTTGAACCTTACAAATGAGACAGGATCACTTCAGATCAGGGTCTGAGGGTGCCCTTCTACTGTGGTTGATCAAAGATGTAGCCCTGAGCCCAGCTAGCTTTGCCAGGAGGAAAAAGGAAATTTCCATCCCTAAAAAGGTGCTTCTTGGGCCAGCAGCTTTTTAAGCTCCTTCTCAGATCCCACTCAGCAATATTATTCTCTCTCTCTCTCCACTCCTTAGAATCCCTCCCTTCGATATAAGGATGCAGAAAAAGTATTCAGGAAAACCGTATCTCTAATAAGGGATAATCACACTTAATGCCCAGCTTAACCTTGGACATCTCAGGCCCAACGTGGGCTAAACCCACGTTGCCTTTCCCTTCTGCGCCATTTTCAGGCACCTAGTCGATTAGTGAATTTTTCAGAGCTATGTAGGTTAAAACAATTCAATGAGAAAAACAGAAAGAAGCAGTCAAAAGAAGAAAAACCTAATTTTTCAGCAGACATGCACAGTAGGTCAAATGGCCTAAGGGAAATATTTAATTTAAGAGTCATACTATTTCTACCAAGTTTCCTAACCAAAAGTATTTTCATCAGGAGCACTACTCTTGATCTGGTTAATGCTAATGATTTTCCCCATGGACTTAGCTCATAAAAACATAAATTGCTTTATGAATCATAGAATCACAGAAGTTGGAGAAGAAAATGATGGGTTAGGTCATCTTGCCCTTCTCCCTGACAGTGCAGTATTATTCCTTTTTATAAAAAATTTTGAAAATAATCATCTATTTAAAGCTGGGGAATGAAAATGCTAAGTTCAAAAGAGATTTTAAAAATAGTTAACGAAAGCAGCGGAGGAAGAGCTAGATTCTTAAGTACCTTGGCTCTCTCTACAAGACACAACATTGTGATGAGAAGCATTGTCTGGATAGGCACAGCCAGAAATTCAAGAGCAAAAAAAGGACAATGGTGCAAGTCCTGTGCACGAGTAATTATCATAGCTGTAAATGCAAATCTGGTAGTTACATAGGCAAATATGCTGCTAGGCAAAGACCTGGCCATCACAATAACCATGACCAAATGTACAACGTGATGTGCAAGAACCCAAAGTCCGCAGGCCTTTGTGCAGAGAGTGAAGGTGCGCAGGTGTGATAACACACACTGTGTTATTGTCACCTATCATGACATCTCAAGAAGGACATGGACCTATTGGAGCAGGTCCAGAGGAGGGCCACAAAAATGATCCAAGGGCTGGAGCACCTCTCCTACGAGGACAGGTTGAGAGAGTTAGGGTTGCTTAGCCTGGAGAAGGGGGAAACCTGATTGCAGCCTTTCAGTACCTAAAGGGGGCCTATAGGAAAGATGGGGAAAATCTTTTTAGTAGGGCCAGCTGTGACAGGACAAGGGGTAATGGTTTTAAACTAAACCAGGGTAGGTTTAGACTGGATATAAGGAAGGAATTCTTTACAATGAGGGTGGTGAAACACTGGAATGGGTTGCCCAGAGAGGTGGTGGAGGCCCCATCCCTGGAAGCATTCAAGGCCAGGTTGGGCGGGGCTCTGAGCAACCTGATGGAGTTAGCGGTGTCCCTGCTCCTGCAGGGGGGTTGGACTAGATGACCTCTAGGGGTCCCTTCCAACCCAAAACATTCTATAATTCTATGGTGTCCACACATCCCAGTGAGCCAAAAAGTCTGTGCTTTGCGTATGCCCTTTTGAACCCTTTAGTTTGAGTATTTTTCTGTTTTCTAAAAATGACTTCAAATCCTGCTTTGTGTTACTTTTTGAAGTTTTTTTTTCCCAAGCATGTCTACTTGAGGACGTTGTCCTTTTGCATTTAAAAAAAAACATTTTGAGAACCCATCTAATTCTGGCTCAGAAACTGCTCTTTATCCGACATTCTCTGAAGACGAAAGAAAAAGTTTCTGTTATTTCTTAAGTTAATCAATCTTAAGGGTTTTTTTTAAAAGCTATTTCTATGTCCTGTAAAGTTCACTAAAAATTGCCCTGGTGTGAAGTTCTAACATTTGTCTCAGATGGCTTCCATCCTCAGAAATGGCCCCTTACCTTCCAGCATTTTTCACAGAGAATGCAGGCACTCACTAGAATTCAGACTGTCTGAGAACCCTTATAAACATAATGTAAATGAATAAAAAAACTGTTGCTGGAGTTGGTTTTGGACTTCTGAATGTTTTTTCTAGATCTCTGTAAGACAGCAGTATCTAATTTTGTTCCCATTACTGTCTTCCACAGATTTCTTTTGAATCAGGACATCTTAGAAAATACATCTCGGTAATTCTGTAATTCCTTTAGCTCAAGCGAGCGAGTGAGTCACGGATCTGTAAGCAAGAATGTTCCCAAATATCGATTACTGAAACTAGAAACACTAAGCTAGTCAGTTTTATTTTGATCCTAGTCTCAATACAAGAACGCCTATATAATTTTAAATCCCTTCAGTACACAGCGTGCATGTTCTGATATGTCTAACTGCAAATCTTGTGTGTGAGTTTGCGCAGGTAACAGCCCTGCAATCTATTTTTGTACAGGCTACACATGTAACTGATCTAATTGAACCAATGCAAAATAGGATACACCCAACGCAGGAGAGCATAGGAAAATAAATGTAGAGCCCAAACCTGCCAGAACTCTCTCAGAATGGAGAATGCACTGGGTACCACTTCTTTTTTCCTTCACACCTCATGGCGTATCTCTTCAGGCCAATCCATATCTCAGTCAAACGTATAAAGAGGAGAGGAGATACCAGACTGATCACAACAGAGGAGAGGAGACACCAGACTGACCACAACAGCCGCTGCGATTCAGAAACCCGTGGTGAGAAGCCAAACTGAAGGACTTTGCAGCCCACTGACAAACGATGGGAGCATAATCCCTTCTATGCTGTGTCACGACATGACTTCACGATAAAAGGAGCTGTGCATCCCTACTGAGGCGGGAGTCTGACCTCCTCTCCCAACACGCGTAAAGCCTCCTCCACTATGCAGCCAATTGGCCTGCGACAAAGTGAAATTATTTACAAGGAAGCTTTTACATACATTTGAGTCGGGAAGCTTCGTATGTAGCTTCAGTATGTATTATATCTCTACTTCCTTTTTAAAATGTAGAACCTTATTAAATATTAACTATTATACCGACAGAAGAATTGATTTAAAATGGCAGGTATGCCTACAGGGTGATTTTGTTTCTTACCCTTCTAGCAGACTCGTATTCAAAGAATTAAAGCTTAGTTGTTGTCTGCAAACCAGGAACATGCCCAGGTAATTGCATATGCAAATCTGAAACTTGCATATACAAATATCTTTTTACGTGCGCAGCTGCCTGGTTCACTGGGGATATTTTTCAGGGGCAATTCAACCATAATTAAAAAAACAAAACTAAATAAGAAGCCTTACTCTGACAGCACTATTTGTGTTAAAGTCTGGCCTCAAATCCAAAAAATATAGGTCAGATTTTTTTCACTAGATGCATGCAGCATCATGATGCAACTCAGACAAATGAAGGCTCAAGAAGAAAATGCACAGGCAAGACATGGATTTTCTAAGCTATTCTAGTTGAAGTTTCAAACCTTTCTTTTCTTCCCCCACCTCAGTTAAGCAGTCCCGAGCTGCGAGTCTCATTCTCTAGTGGGTGTTTGAATCCTGCTGCTCTCTTCTCCCGGGATGATTCCACTTAAGCAACAGCCAGAACTTCTGCCAAGCGTGTGGGAGGAGCACAAGTAACTAACCACAAACCTCAATTTACATCAGGGCATTTCGATAAAAATATGAAAATGCCCCATTTGGGCTGGTGACTGAGGTTAATGATTGCCTCTGGTAACAGACAGGGCATGTGCTGCAGAAGCATCTATACCTGCAGACCTGCTCCGCCATCGCTTCACCCCGCAGACAAAACAGCCTGCCCTCGCCACCCCAACAAAAAAACCGCCTGTGTGAAAGGTGCGGGCATTTCCCTGGAGGTATCAAACCATTCATCTCCTCCTTGTACTTAATTCTTCAAAAAAAGTAAGAGAAAAAGAAAAGAGGAAAGATTGTCTGTCTGTGAAAAGGGGTGCTCCTAAGCTATACAACAGCATGAGGCACAGCGAACGCCGCAAGGCAGCAACCAGGTGTCCTCTCTCAGGCATTTGTTTCTGCAGGGTGGCTGAGCTCGAAAAGTTAGATCAATGGCATATTGGTTTCCAATGCTTTCAAATCCTCTTAACATCTGAAAGGCAAGACTAGCAAGAAATGATGTGTAAGGTATATGCTGCCCACCTTTTACCAGCATCCCTTCTGTCAGCTTTTGGGTATGATCCAAGTCATCCTTGGGTAGCTACTTTAGAAATGCAACGCAAGTCGTATTTTAGATCAGCTGGACACCCGTGAAAAATAAGGTTTCGGGAAAGCATAATTAAAACCATTTGTAGGACAGCCTTGGCTTAAAACATACCCACTGCTCCACATGCATTGGATATTGCTGCATTTCACGAGGCTGGTGATGAACCCCTACGCTAATCCATCAGCTTGGCTTTCTGCAAATGCTGCCATTAGCTCACTTACTTCTGGGTTCGCGAGGTCCGTCCACCGTTATCTTGATGGCTCTGTGGTATGTGGCTACTTGCGGCGGATTTGTGAAGACCGTGATAGTCAGCGTGAAGCTTTTCCCTGCAACAGGAAAAAAATGTTACTGAGCACATGTGTTGGGAAAAGGTGTATTCCTCATTTCAGATAGCACTCGAACACAGCAAATGGCACTAGAACACTTCAGCTGTCTGTATCTGAAGACAGATATGTGCCCAGGGAGCGGGGTGTACAACCTCACAACTGCCTGGTGCTGGATGCATTCCCTCCGTGGCAACTGCTCAAAGCTTTCGGAAAAAAAAATTAATTTATATTTAAATGATCTACACTTTGTTTGTAAAAAAAGGAGGTTACCCCTAAGAGTTAATCTGATCTACACAACTGCTGGCACCTTATCTGTACTTTCTAAAGGGTGTTAGTTCAGAGAGGCTTAGAAATTGTGGCTGACTCTTCCAAAACTGCCACGGGAGTCTGATCAACAGCGCTTGTTAAAATGAAAGAGAACTGGGTGCTCAGATCCCCTAGGCAGATTGTAAAATCCCACGCTTTGTGGTTGAAGCTAGCATTAGATCAATTCCATATTGCAAACCAGAACCCTTTAAAAATAATCTGCTACTGCAATGCCAAGAAACAATGGGGAAAAAAAAAATCCCTACAGCTTGTCCACAGAGAATTAAAATATTTTATGAAGACATAGCAGAGCATTATGCTTAGTTTCTCTATTATTCGGTAAGAAAACTGTGAAGGGCTTTTCAAAATTGGTATGTGCATGCCGTGGCGCTAAGCTGGGAAAAGTACTTGGTTTGATGACTGCTGGGAAGGGTGTCGTATCCCCTTGTGACTGCTACGCCTTCAGACCCTGCTCTCCCTGGATTTGCTTTTGGCCAATGCCAGCATTTACTTCAGGCATTTTTTTGAATAACAAAAGCAACATTCTGCATCTTTGATAAGACCTCATATATGCATTCGTTATGGCTTTGACCTGGACAACAATAAAAACATTGCCTGTCAGGAGGTTTAGCATCGTTATCTCAGCATCACGCAGGACTCAGATACTGACAGGAATCTATGTTATCAGTAAGAGACATCAAAGGACATCACCCCAAGTTAGATAACCGGGAACTGTTGTAAGAAAATTGAGGTTCTCCTCCTTTGGGCGCATGGTGTGGGAGCTTTCCCATACAGCTCTGCCCGCTTCATTTTACCATTTGGCTCTAGCCCTCCCGAGTGCTGAATTTCTTCCCTTCTAAGACTTCCCATTTTTACTCTTTGCTTCATTTACCTATATAAATAAATATAAATTTAAATATAAATGTAAATACAAATTCCTGCCTCTGGTAGCAATATTCTCCCCCTCCCTATGCACATTCACTTGCAATTCAGTACTTCTCTTAATGCAGTTCCTACTTCAGTGCTAATGGTCTGCATCAACATCAGGGCACACACACACATAGCTGTTACTGGAAACTGTCCTCATCGCATCCCTGTGAATTAGGGAGGTATTCTCCCCGCTCTGCAGATGAGGAACTGTGGGGAGATAAAGTGTCTTGGCCACGATCTCACAGGAAGCCTGTGGCCAGCGATGCTAACCACTTTGGCTGCTGCAACTAAATCCGACCGTAATCCTGAATCACAGCCCTGATAAAACAAAAGCTGAAACACAAGCCTCACAAATCGCAGGCTGGTGTCTTCCCACCTCCACATCCTCGCTGGAAAGCAGTCCCTGAGGTCGAAAGAATTGCAACAGAAGTGAAAGTAATTTCAGACCCCTGCCTTGGGGCCTTTGGCCCTCAACTCTTGGGTCCTACATCTACCCAGACCAAGGATGGCTGTGTTCTTGACATTCTTTAGATACTCTATTACATGATAAAGCTTTACAGCTTTGTTGCTCTTTCTCTGCCAGTGCAACAGATCTTTCTATGAGGCATCAGTAATAAAGTTCAATAAACTTCCTTCCCAAAAGTTTATCACCCATGGCACTAGACTTAACAAATATCAGAGAGGCACCTGTAGACCTTCCTTCTTTCCAAAAATAGTTTCCCTGTATCATTATATGCAACACCTAGATCACTAAGACTGAAAGAGACTTTGAAAATATACTTTATTCACTTTACTAATCTGCAGTATTTCCATCTTACTTCCTGTTTGGTTGTTTTTGACAACATTAGGTGCATTAGGTAAGGTGCTCCTGCTGTTCTGCTAGAATATGTAGTCAATATAATTCTTTAGAAGGCTCTTGTGGGATTTATAGATAGAAAAGAAATGCAGAAAACAATGTATAACAATAGTGAAATGTAGTAAAAAGTGGCCGTGTTACCAGTCTACAAGACCAGAACAAAGAATAAGAGGGAGGTGAAGTTACTTTCAAGATTTTCTACAGAACAGACTAGACCTCAAAGCCTGCAGAAGGTTGTGACACAAGTTGGCAAAAGCAGGAAGATGCTTAGCTTACTTCTTGTTGACAGAAGACTATTCATTAACCACATACTGGTTAACCACAGGACTATATAACCATAAACCTATGTGTCGCTCATTGCTGCTTACCAATAATTCTGGCTGTGTTTTTTTTTTTCTCTGGTTATTCTGTTTCATTTACATTTAGCTTTATTAAGTGGTTTTATCACTTTTATTCATAGCTTCCACGTTATTCATCATTTACGCGTCTGGTTGACAAAGGTAGATTTAGATTGGAGGTATTGTTAGTGAAGCCTGTGTTTTATGGATATACCTGCTTTGGGATGACAGCAGGACTATATAGGTCTCCTCCTTGCTTTTATGTATTATGATACAGTCATGATACAGACTTTTATTTTCAACGTACACATGCATAATACACTTACACACAACACACATATGCAACATGCAGCAGACTAAACTGGTGGAAATAATACTAAATCACTCAGCGGAGGCAGTATTCAGACTCCCTAGCACTGGAGCCTGTATTAGATGCCATGATTCTGATGCCTAAGTAAGAGGACCTTCTAACTATTGGCAGAAGACCTACACAGAGCACTTAGTGTCTCTGCTCAACTCAGAAAGGGCTGGGTGCCACCAAAACTGAGTCAGACAGCCTAAATGACGGACTGATCTCTGTAGTGGCTCTAAAGAGGAACCAAACACCCCAAGAAGGCATTCTGAAACACTGGCCTGGTTTGGATGCCTCCAATAGTCATGACGACAGTTTGATGACATCCTAGCAGTCACCACAAGCCAGCACATAGTCCTCCATTTGATAACATGACAATCTGAGACCCCCTGTGTTAAACAGTCCCATGAATCGACAGAAAACCATACACAAATTAGCTCAGGTCTACGATGCGTGCCCCAGTATACTGAAGCCAATCACTACTAAGTCATCGTGGGAATCTTTGCCAATGGTGGAAAGGCTGATGGGTGATCTCAATGCCAAGCTGTGCCTCGCTGGGGTGCAAGAGTCACTTCAGAGTCTGTTGCACTCCCTGTAGCTATCCCTGGCAGTTCCTAATATTAGGCATGTAGCACCTCATGAGCAAAAGGATTAAATTCTCCAGGTGTGGGGCAGGGCTCTGCCTTTGGAAACCCTTCCCACAGATATCAAGCATGCCCTCATATGCGTAAGGGCAGAGCACAAGACTCACTGCTTCCATCAAGTCTTCCCTCACAGCTAAGGTAGGAAAAACTGCTTGGTAATGTTTATTTTTGCAAGAACATTCAGGTCAGAACCCTTCTAGAAAAAATAATGGAAACAGTAGCATTTCTGGCCAAAATGCCATACTGACTTTTGAAAAGATACCTAGAGTCTCTGCTGATGGGTTTGCTAGAGACCGTGCTATCAAAAGTGCCCTCAAGAGTCACTGCTCATTTGACAGCCAAAGTCAAATGGATTAAACCGGTTGTCCCCACCTTATGGCTTTACAGGACTGCTTGTGAGATCCCCTGATGCTGCACAAAGCTGCAAGAACTTAAGAGGAAGCACAAAGCATAATATTGTCCACCAGCGCCTGCTCAGCAATACTGTTCCTGGACCAGCAAAAGGTGAAGATTAACCCCTGAGACCCAAGCATCTGAAGGTGTTGTGCCCATGCGCTACACTGCAATACAAGAACTTGAAATCTGCATTCAGCCTGCATCCCATCTGACGGAGGCTGGAAGCAAAACGAGCAGTGAGCTTGCATCTAGCTTGATGAGAGATTATTTAAGTGGTCCCCCAGAAAAGCACTGAAGGGCTCTAGAGGGAGCAATAGGCTTGTAAGCTACGGCCCCTGGGAACCTTTGAGAGGAACCAAGGGGGAAAAAATGAATCCCAAGTGACAACATGGTCACATGAAGCTCCTGTGTGCTGCTTTAGTCATCCCTGAGCAGTGTCATGACCAGATGGGTCTGGGGAGGAAAGGCACACTTAAAATATAAGTGGCTGCATGAGCAGATGCAAAGGGGAATGAGAACAGACACGCTTTAGGGAAGAGAGGTCATGTCTTTGAATATATCACTTCATTTTAATCCACGTCTTTCTCAGGCAAAAAGAGCCATTGATTCTGGTGATGAAGGTTCATCCAAATGAGGACAGAAAAAAACGGAGTTAAAGCTTCTGAAGGTTGCCTGTGGTGCAGGGGAAGGAAAGGGAGGCCAACAGATGATGTGGTTACAATTTCTATCTTTTGCTCTTAGGATTTATTCTGATGATCACAGATGTGTCATTAGAGTTGTTGGTTTGGGTTTTTTTTTTAATTCTTACAGTAAATATTAGATAGAAAGGAAAGGAGCCAAGAATGCTTATGCTGACAAGGACAAAAGGTATAGATGGAAAAATATGAAATGTAATACACAAATGCAATACAAATTATATTACAGACATTTCTATTATATTAGTGAGAGAATTCCAGGTTCTAGTAAGAAAGATTATGATACTTTTTTTTTTCCAGCTTCTACTTTTCAGTGCTTATGTACTTACTTTTATTAAGCCATGCTAAATGATCAATTTTATACATCTTTACAATTTCTCACAATATCTTCCTGGGTATCTGCCAAAGTGAAGAAGTCTAATGCATTTTAATAACATATCTGACTGTATCGCTGGGCAGGATGCAATACACACACACTCGCGT